AAAATTTTTGAAAATTAAAAAGAAACAACATGAAACTCATTCTGTGTAAAACCTGCTTCTCTGCTTTGATCTCTTCAGCAAATATGACTCAAAGCCAGTCACTCCTCCACAGTTGGCAGAGAGAGAACAGCAGGGTACAAGTGACCTGATGGGGAAACGGAGTGGGGGCTTCAATTAGGGACAGGGAGAGAGGTAAGTACAGAAGGAGGATAAAATAACAGGCTATCCGAAGAAGCCATAAGGAATCATGCTATTAACTATCCACCTAAAGAACTCTACAATACCTGCCTTTGTATAAATTCGTATACATAAAATTTAAATGAGATTTTCTCCTCTAGGCTGACAATGTTCCCTCCAAGAGCCGAAGACCATCTAACCGAGCCCTGACCCCAGGCCTGGTAAGCCGTCCTGTGAGCTGTGGTCGGGGTGGTCTAAGAGACCCCAAACATCAGCGTCACAGGCTGCTGCGTCATGGAGTCACACTGGTGGGCAGCCTCACGGAAAAGCCACCCGAAAGCTTATCCAAGAAAAACATCATGCCTGCCATCAATGTGGGAGAGCCTTCAACGAGGGGACAGTGCTCAGCAGGCACCAAAGAACTGACTAAGGAAGCAAGCCTTACAGAGGCAGCGAATGCGGGAAAGCCTGGCCTCAAGGTCCAGCCCCAAGAGCACAAGGAAATTTACACAGGAGAGAAACTGTGTGTGCACTAACTGTGGAAGTTTTTGATGGTGGTCAAATTCCTGGAGGCAGAGATAACTCACTTTAGGAAAAGACATTTTGTCTGCCAAATAGTACATAGGTAGTATAATATAGTATATACACAATAGTATACAGTTAGTTTTTTGTTAACTTGGTTAGTTTTTGTCAGCTTGGCACAAACTAGAGTCACGTGGGAAGAAAGAGCCTAATTTGAAAGATTGCCTCCATTAGATTGGTCTGTGGGTATGTGTGGGGGGCATTTTCTTGATTTATGATTGATGTGGGAGGGTGTGCCCACCATGGGCCGTGCCACCTCAGACAGGTGGCTCTGGGTTATATAAGAAGGTGAGCCTCGGAGAGTAAGCCCGGAAGAAGTGCACCTCCATTGTCTCTGCCTCAGTTTCTGCCTCCAGGTTCCTGCTTGAATTCCTGCCTTGGTTTCCCTAGATTATGGACTGTATCATGTACATCAATAAGCCTTTTCTTTCTCCAGGATGGTTTTAGTCAGTGTTCTTATTAAGCCTGAGAACCTAGGAGAAAAAACAAGTCCATTATTGTCTGATTAAAGCAAGCTGTATTTGGGGTACACCCAGAACTGGCTTGCCCAGCTGCCTCTTCCTAAATCAGGATTTTAGAGAGAAGTCCCTGCAGGCCTCTTGAGTTCCCTCTTATGGGAGAGAGAAGGTATTTACAAGGGCAAGAGAGCTGGCTGTTATACACTTAGAAAAATACAACGAAAGGGAAGTAACAAGGGTAAGGAAATCCGCCGTGTGGATAGGGCTGAAGTTTAGTGTAGGTTGAAAAGCATGTCTTGCAGTTTACATCAGGCTAAGAAACAGGAACTTCTTATTTACGGGGAGAAACTTCACCTTTCAAGGACAACACAGGACAGGAACTTATTCGTCAACTACAAACAGAAACCGTAATCTGCACAGCACAAGCAGGAACTTAACTATCTTAGCTGCAAACAGAAACCTTAACCTGCAAGGTGTGTTGTTCCTGATTTGGTCTCACGTTCTGTCCCAGCAACAGAAAGCAGTAAATTACAGTTTGTTTGTTTGTTTTTAAACAATAAAGTTTCTGTGTGTCAAGTGGATTTCCTAATGAAAATCTGTGATTTTTTCTTCGGATGATAATTAAGAATTCTTCATTATATGAATGTGCTTTTGTGGTAAATGTATAGATGCAATTCTGTGGTGTTTAATGGTTTTCAAGGTGTAGGTTTTCATTTGCAATTAGTTCAACTCTGTGTCCCCTTTCCTTTCCACCTATATCAGAGACACCCAGAGCTTATCATTCTATCTGGATTGCCAAGGTCATGTTTTTGTACAAGCTTCTAATCATATGTACAAAATCAGCAAAACTATGGCCGCTCAGTTGTTTGTTTAATGTATTTTGAGGCTGTTGTTGTTTTAACACATCCAAGGTTACTTATGCATATATCATAAGGGAATGCAATCTCCCGCTCTGCTGGCTGAGCAGCTGTGCCAGAGGTCATGTATCAATATACTGCCCCACAGCAGAAATAAACTAATGCTTGACTTTGTGCACACGATGCCTGCCAGCCCATGACACACACTATTCACTACACCGTTAGCTGTAGGGGGTTTAAAAGCCTCTACTTCCCTTCATCCAATCTTAAGTAGGAGAGAAAAAAGGTTGGTGGGGAGAGGGGCCCCAGTCAAGGGGTTCTTTTAGGGCTCTGTACCAATCTCTGTCAACTGTAGACACAGCCAACAGTCTCCTCTATGCTGCTGCACCCCAAAGCGTTTCTCTCCATTTGTCTGCTCCAAACGGACACACCGTCTGGGAATCTCTGGTCTCTGCAAACTGCTACACGCTACATGCCACACGCCACACACCAACACCGAATGCCACACCTTCTCTTTCTCAGCTCTCATATTTATACTCTCAGAGTCCTAGACCGTGCTTCTCTGTGCTCACTCGGAAGGCCGTTACCAGCTGGCAAGAGCCACACTCTGTACTAGACAATTATCAGCTGTGGACAAACTATAGCCGAACTAAAATCCCATCCTTGGGATTAAAACAAAAGCATATTTACATAACACACAGAGAACCCAAAACTTCCATTACAGTTGGTCATGTGCATATGTGGGGCTGCAGGGTCTCTTTGCTTTATAACACTCCGATGACATCTGTGCGCTTTATTAGTATGCTATTTCTAAAACATCCTTAATGGTATGGATGGTATTGGGTGAAATTGACAGGCATAGTTGATTCAGTCATTGTCATAGCACTGGTTAGTCATTCTTTCACTTTCTATTTTTTTGTGTGTTCTAAATCCTGTGATAAATACTTCTGAAAAAAGAAAAACACAGGTTTTAAATATAAGACCGGGAGAAAGTCCCTATGCAGAAAGGGAATCTGGATCCATTCTTCCATTCCCTATGCATCTTCGAAGCAACTTCAGTTTACTTCCCCTTTGACTGGGATGGTCCTAATTGCTGGTTTTAAAGGCTGGCTCCTGTTGCTGTGGGAGTGGAGCCAAATGAGAGATCAGTCTTGGTGAATGGACATTAGCAGAAACGTTTTTCTCAGCAACCCTGCACTTCGATTGTGATTTGAATTTTCTTTCCTAACATGCCTAGTGAACTGTTTATCTTCTAGTCATAACGGGAGACGGTACTCCTTCAGCGAAAGTCTTCCTCGTGTAATTAATTTCCTAACCGAGTTTATTAGTAAATCTTACAGCATCAATTTTATTCCTTCAAGTTTCTCTGCATCAGTACATTCATATTGGAGCAAGTTATTTGAACCTCTACATTGGGAGTTATTTACGGTTCTCTGGAAGCCTGTAAATTGAGATCTCTATGTGTTGGTTAGTGTTTTGTCAGCTTGACACAAGCCAGGGTCCCCTGGGAAGGGGAAATGTCAACTGGAAATGCCTCCATCCTGTAGGCAGCTCTGTGGAGCCTTTTCTTGATTAACGCTTGATATTCTACCTTTGAGTTTATTTAATTTTTTTTTCAAGCATTTATTTTATATTTAGAGAAAGGGTTTCTCTGTTATGTAGTTCTGGCTATCCTGAAACTTACTATATAGACCAAACTATCCCCAAATTCACAGAGATCTGTCAGTCTCTGGGATTAAAGGCATGTGTCACCGCACCTTGCTGTTTTTCAATATTTAATTTTAATTTTCATTTTATGTGTATGAGTAGTTTGACTGCATGTATGTATGTGTGGTGCCCACAGAAGCAGGAAGAGAGAGTTGGATTCTCTAGTGCGTGGGTGCTGGTTGCCGAACCTGGGTCTTTGGCAAGATCAGACAGTGTTCCTAGCTTCTGAGCCATCTCTTCAGCCTTAAAACACTTTTTATCGTTTTCTTGAGATATGGTCACTGTTTGTTTTTCGAGACAGGATTTCTCTGCGTATTCCTGGCTGTCCTGAAACTTGCTCTGTAGACCAGGCTGGCCTAGAACTTAAGACGTCTGCCTGCCTATGCCCACAGAGTGCTGGGATTAGAGGAGTGCACCACAACTGGGCATGATTTTAGTTTTTAACAGCCCGGCACCAGCACTCGGGAAGGCAGGGCAGGTGTAGCTCTGTCAGAGAGTTTACAAAGAGAGTCCAGGATAGCCAAGGCTACACAGAGAAATCTTGTCTGGAAAAAGCAAAACAAAAAAAGATTTTTTAAAAATTTATTTATATGTATGAGTGTTTTACTATCTGTGCACCACTTGTGTGCTTGGTGCCTTCGGAAGTCAGAAGGGAGCATCAGCTCCCCTCTGCAATTAGAGTTACAGATGGTTGAGCGCTGACACGTGGGTGCTGGAATTAACCTGGGTCTTCTGGAAGAGCAGGTTGTTCCTGTTAACTGCTGAGCTACCTCTCCGCTCCCCTACCCCTTCCGCCCCCGCCCCCACCACCCAGAGAATTAGTTTGAAATAGAAGGCAAGAGGCATGTAACTAAGCAGGCTTAGTTTGTGGCCCCCCCGCTATCGTCTCCAGGTCCCGTCTGTCCTGAAAAGTGGTCTAAGAAGTCGTCAGAACTGTGTGAAATCTCTTTTCTGTACCAAGTCCCGGCTCTGACGGCCTGCTGGTTTCAGTACCTCCCTCCTTCCACCGTGGGGCTTCCGTTTCTCTGGTCCACCGTCTCACCAGTCTGCAAAGGCAGGGCCACAAAGTCTCCTTAGAATATCAAAACTGCATGGGACAGCCTCCTGACGACACGGTGACTGTTGGCAGGCCCTCAGCCTCAAAAGGGTTAGTGGGCATGCGCAACATCCCACTGGGCGTGGACAAACGCCGCCGGAAATCCAAAAGAGACACCGGAAACAGAGTGGCCATGAAGTCTTCCCTGTCGTAGTCATTCTAGTGGTACTTCGCTGGCGGGTCCGCGGCGTGGCTTGGAACTTTCTGACGCGGGAGCCTTCGGCGTCCGTGGGCGGAAGTCGCGGCGTGGCGCGCGGTGCGCAGAGCTGCCTGCGGTGCGGTGTGAGCCGGGCGCCGGGCGGACGCCGGGCTGCCGAGCGCTGGTTTGTGCCGAGCGGCGGCGGCTGGGGCTGCGGTGGAGAGGGTGGCGGTCGTTCGTTCGCTTTCCTTCTGCTCGTGCGGGTTCTCCCCGGTGTGCTCTCCTGCGGGTTCACACCGTCGTCCCTGGAGGTTGTCATGTGAGGACCCTGGGGTCAGGACTCAGTGAGTGGGTGTGACCCACTCGGGCCGTGACTGGCTCAGGCTGCCAGAGAGCCCGGCGCGCGTGGAGCGTGCTGGTGAGGACCGCTCCGGTTGGTAGTGTGTGCGTGGCCAGCGGCTGTGCGGCTTGATTCCGTGTCGGAGTCGAAAGTGTCAAGACCGCAGGTGTCTCTCTGTGGCGCGCGTGTCTGTGTCTGAGGTGGGGAGGGTGTCCCGCGCTTAGCATCCTCCTAGTACCTAACTTGCTGAGCGCAGCGATTTCTTCACTCCGAGGTCTGTGAAAGAAAGGGATTTCCTTTGTTTTATGGGCCGCTGTTGGGTCCCCTCTACCAACTAGTTCCTCTTCGGGTGGTCAACCTTATTGAAGGAGATAGACACGGGTAGTAAAAACAAATTCTCATTCTTCGGGCCGCTTTGGGATCGCATTAGAAATCCTTCGGCGATCATGTGTGGCTCATCTTTTGGCACCGCCTCTCCGTATCCCATCAGTTATGTGCATCAGTGCTAGCCTCTCTGGGATCCCATACAGATAGTAAATATCAGAAGTTGGCACTTGACCAAAATGAGAGTGCTTCCATACTGGGTCATATGATTGGTACCCCAACATTTGTGCTGATTTAGAGTCCTTAAAAACAGTGTATCAGTCCAGATGCTGTTGCTCATACATTTGATCTGAGCATTGACGAGGCCGAGGCAATGAGAGTTAAAACAGTGTATCACACACACAAAGCAGTACATTATGCCCTCTGGGAAGCTTTTGTTTCTTTGGGGGCTACGAGGGCAGTAGTGATTTCAGGAGCCTGGGGCATGTCGGTGACAAGGAGGCAGTTTGTAACCTGGCAGTCCTGTGCTCCACTGGTTGGGAGTTACTGGAACTCATCGGTGTTGGGATGAGGACTGGGTGAGTGAATTTGTCATGATGTGGTTGTGTGTGGACAGAGAAATGTCTAGAAACCCAGACAGATGTCTAGAAACTTAGACCAGAATCAGAATTGGCTGTCATCCTGAGCTCTCTGTGCAACAGGAAACAGAAATGCTGTTTTTAGATTCTGACTACAGAAGGGACTGCATAGAATCCAGTGGCCATTGTGTTTCTTAGAATGAAAAGAACTTGACTCTGTACCCCTGTTCTTCTATTTAGTGACTTATGAGCAAATTAAGCAGAATACTAATGCTTATTTTGTGTAGCTGAAAGGGTTGTTTAACATGAAATCAAAATTAAGTTAGCAGCCTGCGGGGTTTTTTTTTTTGTTAGTATTTTACCACCTTCCAGGCAGGTGCTGAGGGTTTAGTGAGCCTTCCCAGGCATGGCATTCTGGATCCCTATAATAAATAGCTGTGTCCTCATTTTGTAAATGACTAAGTTTTTGTTTCCTTTTTTTTGTTTTATAACCCTGACTAATAACAAGAGCAGGGCTTTATGTGTCCTCTACACTGCATACACGTGACCCTCCACATAGGCCCTCACCATTTCATGGTCAGATGTTGGTTCATTGTCTTTTAGGAATTTCCAGTGTCTCAGAGCTCCTAGGATCACTGAAATCATTCAGGCCTCAGGATTTCCTGCTGTGTCACAGCTAGCCTTTCTTCAGTAACCCTGTGAACTCCTGAGGAATTTGGATTTACTGCAAAGAAACATCAAGAATAAGAGATCAGCGGGGACATGGCTGCAGATACGAATTTCCAGCAGAAGACCCAACCATTGACTGCAAAGGAGCAGCATGGGTCATGTGAGGTAAGCTGGAGGGGCCTCGTGTTTGGGTCTTCAGGTCTTAAGGGCGGGTACAGGAAGCTGCAGCTTCTATGCTACCTATTTCTGCGATGATCTTAATCTAGTTAAGAGTGGAATATATACCCCTTACCCCCCCTTGCCCTCTCTTTCTTTGGATACAGGGTGTCCTGTCCCCCTCCTCCCCTGACAGGGTTTCTCTGTGTAGCCATGGCTCTCCTGGACTTGATTTATAGACCAGAGACCTGCCCGCCTCTGCCTCTCTGAGTGCCTGGATTAAAGGCATGTGCCACCTTTCCTGGCTGGATACAGGGTCTTAATGTGAGGTTGGCCTGGAACTTTCTGTATAGTCCAGGCTGCCATCACACACAAACGCAACACTTTTTCTCTTTCTTTTTACCTCAGCCTCTCCAGTGCTGGGATTACAGGCCTACATCACTATAGACAGCATCTCCTCTATTGAATGACAAGCTCTTCTCTATTGAGTTCTCCTTTTTAGGTGTGTTTCTCTTTCCCATCTTGCCATTCCTAGTTCTTAAGGCTTGCCTGCTGTGCCATCTAAGAAATGATGTATCTGGGGAGGCAGATCCATTTGTCAGTTCTTAGTCTCACGAGTAAAAGAATTTTAAAATGGACTCAGAAAGGAAGGCCTAGGACGATTTATATTAGAGTTTTAGGAAAAGCAGAACAGGGTAACAAGGCAGGTATCCTGAAAATCTGTAGTTGCAGGGAGGAGGGAGAGGAAGAGGCAAGATAAACAAGCCTCATATTTAGGCTATGAGGCAGCAAATGGCAGCAGACCTACCATTTATTGATTTTTAAGGCAAGAGTCTCACGAGGTAGCCCTGGCTGCCCTGAGCTTTACTGTGTAGACCAAGCTGACCTCAAACTCACAGTAATCTGCCTGTTTCTGCCTCCCACATGCTGACCTTTAAAGGTTTGTTCTATCATATCTGGCTATTTAAAGCCTTTTGGAAATCATTTATGTGTCTGTGCCTGCATGAGTTTGCACATGTACACCGTGTGCAGGCAGGTGTCTGAGGAGGCCAGAGAGGATGGAGAACATTGGAACTGGGACAGAACTTGCTCTGTAGAGCAGACTGGCCTCACATTCACAGAAATCAGCTTGCTTCTGCCTCTGGAATACTTGAACTAACTTCTTGTGAAAGCTTCTTCCACATACAGTTGAATGAACAGGAGACTTGCTTGTGTAGTTCAGGAAACAGGAAAAGCTAAGCTTCCTCAGTTGGGTGGGAAATGCCTGTATAACCACTGTGGCTCCCTCCACTGGAATGTCTAAAATTAGCTACACTAAAAATATCAAGGGTGGATGTGCCTGTGTCCCAGGGAAGCAGAAGGAACACTGTTGGTGCCACTGCTGAGAATATCAATTAGGCCAGTTTGGAAAGCTGCAGTCTTTGGAGAGGTCTGCGTTGTCTGACACCCAGCATTTCCGCTGCTCGGGTAAATGCAGCAAGGTAGAGTGGTACAAGTTCAGCAGTCCTATTGATCCCTGCCAGTCAGCTCATTGAAAACAGGGGATTTGCTTGCAGACTTAATTAATTTATTTATAAATATGTGACTGAGATTGCCGCGCAGTGTCTGTGTTTTTTTGAGCATACACTTATTTGGTCAATGTTCTTTCTGTTCCTCACGCCCAGTCTTTTTTTGTTTTATGATAGCATCTTACACAGCCCAAGCTAGCCCCCAATTCCCTGTGTAGATGATGCTTGTCCTCACTTCCTGAGGCTCCCGCCTCCACCGCCAAAGGGTGGGGATGGCGAGCATGTGGCAGCATCCTGGGATGTTTTCTTTTTCTTTATTTGTTGTGTTTGCATACATTTTAGTATTTTTAAGGAACTTTGTTCCTTGATTTTCCTTTATGTTTTATATACTTTTTCACTTAAGTTTTTATTTTACTGTTCATTTTTGTCCTTGTAGTTGTTTTTGTTCCTTTTGAGCTTTTTGTTTTATTTTTTCCTTTTTGTTAAACTTTTTTTTTTTTTCTTGTAAAGAAAGGGTCTTCCTAGTTGTCCAAGGTGGTTTCAAAATAGCTATATAGTTAAGGCCAGCTCTGAAATCTTTTGTTTTGTTTTTGAGTCAAGGACTCTGCTTCTCCCAGTTATTAAAGGTTCAAAGTCCTAGCAGATTGGTCATCTAGTGAGGCTTTGTTGCATAGTTGCTTAAGTTCATCTTCTCAATATGTTGTCATATTTTCTTAAAGGGCTCTGGTCCCATTTACAAAGGCTCCACTCTCAGGAACTGATTATCTCTCAAAGGCAGATGTGAATTTTGGGGGTGCAAGCATTCTGGAAGCTTGTTTTGGTTTGGGGGCAGGATTTCTCTTGTTGCCCTGGCTGTCCTGAAGCTCACAATGTAGACCCAGCTAGCCTCAAACCCTCGGAGATCCATGAACCAACTGCCTTAGAAGTGCTGAAGTTAAAAGTGTGTGCCACTAAGCCCAGCTTTTCAGGCATTCTGTCCACAGGAGGCGGTACATGAAAATTTGTTGACTCATCCAAGGGAAATTTCTCAGTAATGTAATCAATTGATATTTTCTCCATTAGGCACTCCAAGGGAACCTCTCTGAAATTACCCACTGTGGTTACAGAAATATGTTTGACATGTTAACGTAAAGAGTTTTAACATGAAGTATTTTTTACACAGAGAAGCAATGAGTTAGTGGCAGTGCTTTGTCTGTTTGCAAGGGTCACTAGTGTCAGCCTAAAAGAAGATATACCAAAAGTACTTGCAGCTCCAGAAGGAAATATCCATGTACTCGTTTACACATGTGGGAGCCTGAAGGTTGTCAGTGTTGAACTATTACGATGTTCATACATAAGTAAAAGGAGAAGGAATTACGTCCCCAACCCCTTCTTTGAGTAATTATCAACATAAGTCCCATTCTGTTCACCCCTTTTTCCTTTGCTAGGTTATTTGTAATCAAATACTAGAGTCTATGCTTTTCTCTCTGTGTTGGCATTTGGTATGTACTGTAGAGGAATTTTAATTCAGAACATGGCTGCTCTGGCAAGAGATCACATCCAAAGACCTTCAAAGTCTATGATTCAGCTGGAATACAGGCACACCTTTAATCTAGGAGACAGAGGCAAGCAGATCTGAATTCAAGGCCAGCCTGGTATAGAGCAAGTTTCAGATAAAGAAAAGCTTAGTTCCAGGCGTGGTGATGCATGCCTTTAATCCCAAACAGTGACGTAAAGATTAGTTTGTAGAAGGAAGCACCCATGTTTGAAAGTGATGTCTAATTGAGTGGCAGAAAAGGTAATGGAATCATAGAAAGATTCAACAGAATAGGATATGTCCAGCTCTCACAAGAAGAGAGAAGAAAGTGAAGCTATTTAATGAGTAAGGCAGAGAGAGAGAGAGAGAGAGAGAGGTGGGGAGGGGAGGTAATTTCACTTGGGAGAGTTTTACAGAGAGAGGTTGAATAAGAGAACAAGCTAGGCACTGGTGAAGACAGATGAGCCAGAGAATGAGAAGGAGCCAGAAAATTAGAAAAAGATGGCTGGAATTGGTTTGAGGCCAAAGCCAGATTGAATAAGTCAGCTGGGAGAGGAGTTTGAGCCAGAAGAGCTGAGTTGAACTAGCCATCCTAGAGCTCAGTAAGAACAAAAAAGGTGAGCTTATTCAGCAGAAAGTCGAAAACATTCTAGGCCTAGAATAGATTGTATGGAGGTGTGAAGCTTCCAGGACTAGGCCTAGTTTAACAGAGGCAGTAATCCTCTAAGACAACAACTGAACCAGGTGAATAAAAGTTCATTTTACAATTTATCTCTGAGGTGATAGTCTTTTTATATAACCATAAGTTATTCTTAACATTGTCTGTTCCTGCTCATACTATCATATGTAGAGTCTTCCTCTCAAGGTCCAACTAGTGTCTACATGTCTAGCCTAACTAAAACTATTTTAGTCTCTTTTAATTTCTTTTTCTTTTTTTTTTTGCCCTGGTGTTAATCATTTATTGAAGAACTTGGGCTATCCTTTAAATTATGATAAATTTCAGATTTGGCTCAGTTGCTTTTTGATAGTGTCATTTAACGTGAATCCCTTCCTTATATTTCTGGTAAGCTGATATCTAAATTTAAACACGTGCTGTCTAGTACGGTGACACATGGCATGTAGCTGTTGTTGGCCAAGGGAGACTCAGAACAACATTGTGGGCTATGTAATTTGAAGAGTCCATATCAAGGTGTCCTTTAATTTTTTACGTATGATGAATGTTTTTGCCTGTGTGTGTACAGTGTGTGTGCCTGGTGCTTTTGGAGGCCAGAGAGAGCATCAGATCCTCTGGCAATGGAGTTGTATAGAGTTGTGAGCTGCCATATGTATTGGTCCTGGGAATTGAACCCCAGGTTCCCTGCAAGAACAAGTGTTCTAAATTGCCGGGTCATCTCTCCAGCCCTGTTAACCTCCTACACACCTTGTATATTCATGCACAAAGAATGGTCTTGTCTAGAATTAGGACAGGTCTTCACAGTGACCGTCACAAGCTCTACTCAGGTGGACTGAGGATCCTGAGTTGGCCTGTAAAAATGGTTTCAAGAGGTGTCCATATGAACTGAAGTCGGAGTTTCTGAAGCCAAGGGCCACAGAGACAACCAAAGTCTGTGGGAGTTTCAGAAGAGGGATTCAGGCTTACATTTATTAGCACTAGATATGTAAGATTTTGTGTTTTTTTAAATTACCATGTTCAAATTATGTAATCTGTGTTTAAGGTTGGTGTCCTAGGTGGTGTTCGGGGTTTTATGAGATGCATTGTACAGATGTAGAGAAAAGGGAGTACTGATAAGATAAAATGTGAATATATTCTTTACTTTTTGCCTCACCTGGACAAAATACTGAAAAGAAACATCTTGAGAAAATATAACATAGAGACAGGAGGATGACTGTAGTTTTAGGCCATTTGGATTTACATAGCAAGTAAAGTTGAGTTCTGAGCCAGTTAGGCCAGAGAATGAGGCTCTTTTTGGAGAGAGGAGAGAGAGAGAGAGAGAGAGAGAGAGAGAGAGAGAGAGAGAGAGAGA